TGGAATGAGCGTATTGGTGTAGGGTCCTTTAGGTTGCCCTGCGCCAACAGCATTCATGTGTCAGCATAAGCGTGCAGCCCACTATACCACTTGAGCGGACCACTTGAGTTAAAAGGTTATTGACACCCTTTTTCAAAATAAACTTAAAACACGCCCCTGAACACAAAGAATGAGCTCTTAAATACAAATTACAGGGTTATTGGTTTCCTGGAAGGAGTTCTCTCCGTGGTTGCGTGGATTTCCTCCAGTTTTCCCCACGATTCCAAAAACATTTTTTTTTATAATTTAAATTCCCCTTAGAAGTGAACGTGTGAGTGTGTTGCCCTGTAAAGGTCTGGTGACCTGTCCAGGGTGTACCCCTACCCCTCACCCAATGTGCCCTGGAGGCCCATGTGATCCCGAAAGGGAATAATAAGCAAGTTAGAAGATGAATACATTTTATTTTCACGTTACTTAATGTTTCAACTCCAGCTATTCATCTGTGTTTTATGAATAATGGTAGTATAAAGTTCGGACCATACTGTCAATATTACCAAACTGCAATGACTGCCGCAAAAAAGCCATGGGGTCACATAACGAGCCTCCTTTATTTCTTAATTTCTGCCCATTGTCCTTTAATTCATGAAAGGTTGCAGTTCTTCATGTTTTAGTTCCAACCTTGTATCACCAAAGCTATTAGTTTTGATTGGATGTGTTTCATGAAGGGTGAAGCCAAAAGTGCTCATTCTAAAGTTGCCGACATCTGGTCTAAAAGATATTCACCAATGTGTACATCTTCCTGTTCATTTATGATCAGAATGCACAATGCAATTAATCTTAATTACTGTGTGCTAAATTCATTTATTGTGGCTATTTAATTGTGATAATCTGTAGCTAAAGTCTCATTTGAAAGCGTTTAAATCATTCCTGCAGCTCAGCTCCCAAACCCCATCCCCCTTCACCCCTCCCCCTAATACACACATCAAAAAATGACAAGTGATTTACTGTTGCGAGACTTAAATCATCTGTGACTCTGGTTTCAAAGTAGAAACAAATTACACGGCTGTGTATCAAATCTTAGGTTACATTCGAAAGCATTCATAATGAATTAGCATTGAAATACAGATAAATGACAGCAGTTATTTAAAGAAACATCCTTTACCTCCCTTCCTAGCTATTACTAATTAAAGGCAAAATGTATTTATTTTTCTACAAGAAAAAATTGATAATTGTTACCCAAGAGCATAAACTAATTAGCTTAATGGTTTGTTCCATTCTCTCTTCATTAAGAGCAATCGCTTTCATTCATCACAAGACGCAGTAGAACTCTACACATTCTGATGTAAACGTTTTAAAATTGCGTTTTTAACCATTTGTTCTGAGTAATTTCTTACGATAAACAATTCTGAACAATCTCCATGCGCGTTTCTTTACATAAACATTTTTTTTCTTTTTCAATTAAAGGGTTTCATCCTCATCCATTATTGTAGGTTTAAAAATTCAGAAAATTCTAGCGCATTTTACACACACAAACATTCACAATCTCAAACATCCAGATACGGATTGGATTAAAATTCTTATACGTGCGTGAAGTTTGCTGAAAAACAGTAGGTCTTTTGCGCTGGATTTTTTTACAGAAATTACGAAAAAAATATGAAGTTAGCTAATACCCTTTAACAAAGCTGGTCCGTCCCCCACCGCAGCTCATCAATGTTTACCCTGAGCTTCCGTACAAAACCCACAAAGCACAAAATCTTCCAAATGGCTGTCTTTACTGGATGTTTATCGAACGACACTGCCATTAACAAGTGTTTAGATAATTAAGAAGTTTACAGAAGCACAGGGTAAACATCTCTGGAGTAAGTGCGGAATGAGCTGTGGTGGGGGACGGAACAGTTTGGCGAAAGGGTATAAGTAAAAAAAAAATACCAATTAAGATACACTCTCCAAAAAAAATATTTAGTAATGAGCCTCCAAATAGATGTGGTTATGCAAAAGGAAAAATTTAACTGAACAATTACCAGATGGCTAAAGAGCATTTTAATATATCAATTGTTTCTTTTGATTTTCAATTCTCATTTTTTAATCTGTTCACTTATCAGCCAGCAACCAGAACCGAACCAATCCCATGGTAAAAAATGGAAGCGTGTATATTAAGGATGCCACAATACGGTTTTATATTGAACCGAGTGGTACAGTTTTTTTTTTCAGCTCCTCATTTGAGTAACTCCCGTTAGTATTATGTTTTAAACACGAGTGACAATCTGCTTATTTGTCAAAGCATTTCCAGAATAGATATCCCGTCAACAAACTGCTCCTATCTAATCAGCGAGCGCTAAAGCTAGTGGAGGGCTTCTCGTGTTTCACTCTAAGTGTGACCAGAGCAGAGGTTCCTCTGTCTGAACTGTGAGGAGGTTTTTGTACCGTAATCACGAAGCACCATCTGCAAGTCACACACAGCGAGAGACTCTGAATCATTCAAACAGCCAAACCCAACTAATTCGGATATTATTCAGACATGTTGTTTTTTTGTTTGTTTTTTATATTGAGGTTCCATTCTTGAAGACATGTATTGATGTGTAATTTAGCAAAATAAAGTGAATTCTCTCTAAAGTGAAAAAAAACTCTTAAAAAGATCTCTACAAAGAATGGTTAAAAAATTAATAACTAATTTCTTAAGCCATCAGAACTGAACTGAAAACCGAGCTATGCACCGAAACCATGAGCTTTGTGTACTGTTCTGTCCCTATTGAATTTATCGGTCTATAAATATAAAAATTAATTCTGTATTGTTGACGTTGTTCTTGTTTTGACTATTCATTCATGTTCTTTACAATTTCATGCCTTTTTGGGTTCACAGGGGTCTGCCAGTGCCTATCTCCATCGCACATTGAGCGGGAGGTGGGGGTACACCCTGGACAGATCGCCAGTCCATCGCAAGGCAACATTCACACCTATGAGGGAATTTAGATTATTCAATTAACCTGTTTTTGGGATTGTGGGGGAAACTGGAGTACCCGGAAGAAACCCCCGCATGCACGGGGAGAACATGCAAACTCCTTCCAGGAAGGTCACGAGCGAGCCTCGAACCAGCAACCTTCAAACTGTAATGCCACTGTGCTGCCGATGTTTTGACACTAGTTGCAAGAAATCATTTCAAGTTCATGAATTTGAATATCGCAGGACGAATTAAGACTTTATTTACATTCATATTCTTTTAAAGATATCAAAATAAAGCAAAAATCAGCACAATCCTTGGGCAAAAAAGCAACAGCTTAGTTGTTTAAATATTCAATGATTTAGTCTTTTTGACACGATAATACAAAGATATTTTATGATTAAAAGGCAGGTTTATGCATTATTTTCAAGCAGAGCTTATTTTCTTCTATCATTACACTATTCACATAAAAAAGTACAATTATGTGATGTTTCTTAAAACATTGGGGGGAATATGTAATATGAGAACGTTCATGCTGCAAATCATTCTAAATTACTGACTTCAATCCAATGCTGTTCTCCTACACATGGTTTCCAACAATTCCTTGATCTAAACATTTTTTTTTAGGATAAAATACCATTGCTTGCACTTTCATTCCTCTGTTGCCTATAAATAACACAATCTGTAATGACCTGACTGCTACAGAAATGAAGGCTATTGGTAAAATGCATTTCCTGTTTACAGCCAATGATGAACTGATCAGTGAATCTGAGAACACATTTGTCTGGAGAACGTCAATAAGGAGCCAGCATTGACAGAATGAGAGCATAGCTTGCCCTGAGTCGTTTCCCTTTTTCGCTTTACACCAAATGTGAATCTCAGCAGTGTTCGAAGTGTCAGGAATGACTGAAAAAAGCCATTTAGAGGAAGTAATTAACAAAAATGATTAGTTATGCACCTTAACACAAAGTAAATTAGCCACACCAATAGGAAAACCCCCTTGTTGAAGATAATTAACAGTTAAATTCTAATCTCACAGCACAAATGCAAGAGCCAAACATATTTACAATAAAATATGATCATTATGATGCGAGCATACTACCAAAACCAGCTTCTGGTATAAAAATCATGTAGTGTTCCACGTATACAGAGAAACAGTTGCCAAATCATATCTGTTCAAAACCTACAACAAGTCTGCATTAAAATATAAATTGCTTTAAAGTAATTAACAAAGCTAAATAAATGAATGCAAAACAAACAAATAGTAAATGTACAGTTAAATACATACAGAGTATAGTTATAAAAACCATGTATTTTGTCTCCCTTTGTCATTTATAGTGATAAAACATTGCACTATTAAATAAGAACATATTAGACAGATTATTGGTGTGTTAACTACTAGAAATAGCTTCAGTTCACAATTTACATTTGAACAGAGCAGCTCAGTTCATTGCAAGGCAGCGTAAATGGTCCTGAGACTCATAAAATGAATTAGTGCATCCTATAAATCCACATTAACAACCTGCTTTCAGTACCGCAGTCACCTCGTTAAATACTAGACACATTCCAACCCATGGAAAGGTCTAGAAAGACCTATAAAAATTATTAGGCGACTAACCTGTTGTAAAAAAATCTCAAAATTGCTTCAGGTTTTGCCTCAATTTTAAGGCCTTTTTATTCAGAAAAGGATTTAATTATCGTAACTGATATTTGTGAATATTTTATCCTTCTATTGACACTTCTGTTGGTGTGAAATGAAAGCTCAAGAAAGTGTGATGACATAATGACAATTACACTTTCCCATTGACTATAAACTATAGCTACAAAGCAGCAGTAACGAGTCCGAGCCAGATCCAGGTGATATATACAAAACTCACACTCATCACACCAATGTAATAACAAACTGTTTCAATAAATTGTAAAGTTCAGTGTATTTACACAATTCTAAGAAAAGGTGGAGATATTTTGGTAAAGCTTGTTGAAGGACTTTCCCACATTTATCAGCATGTCCTAAAATACCTGTTTTTAAGCAGCTCAAACTATCTCACTTCCTGTTTTGTGGAGCAGGAACAACCGAGGTTTCTTTCCTGTGGCTCAGTCAGTAGAACATTGTGTTAGCAACGCAATGGTCGTAGGCTCAAACCCCAACAAGACCTGGTCAAGAATGTACAGCAAGAACGTGGTCATTCTTTGAAATGTACAGTGAGGGTAATAAGTATTTGAACACCCTGCTATTTTGCAAGTTCTCCCACTTAGAAATCATGGAGGGGTCTGATATTTTCAGCGTAGGTGCACGTCCACTTTGAGAGACATGATCTAAAAAGAAAAATCCAGGAATCACAACTTATGATTTTTTAACTATTTATTTGTATGATACAGCGGATGTCATCATGGATGCAAAACCATGGATGTCGAATGGTTTATACTGTTGGTGGCTGTTTGTGGATAAAAAAGAGGATCTGTGGAGTGCAGTTTCCTGTACGAAGTCGCTAAGAAAATGTGGGCTCTTTTACTACCGAGCATCTCTTTCATCCTACTCACATCATTAAAAAAGCCAGCTTTCATTGGTCATTCTCCGTGTAAAAAAACAGATACAATACGGCAATCTGAAATTCTTTTTCATTGGTAGCACGTGTTCAATTCCATCTGTGATGCCCTGTTGTTGCCCATGGTTTTTGTTGGATCGCGGTGCGTCGGCGCAGGAAACTTTGTACCAGAAATTAGGGTCAATGTATACTGGCCTTTATTTGCTAATTTTTTAAACAACTTTGCGCACACAACCCTAATGCAAATCAACACTAGAGATTTTTATTCGTACGTTGATTTGCAGTAGCATTTTTGTGTGCGCAAAGTTGATTCGCAGTTGAGTTGTGCCAACATACTCAAGCATATTTCAATATATAAAAGTGACGATGGAAGGCTCCTCTATGTTTAGCACAAAAGATTCAAACACTATCTGGATTAACTTTGCTTAGTGGAAAATACATTCCTAACTCGTACTATCACTTTGTCAGTGTGCCCAAACAACTGTGCTATAGATGTTGATCGATTACTGATACTGGGGCTCAGAAACCTAAGGGTCTGGCTGAGTGCTCCCTTAGCAAAAAGGGCAATTACCTACCCTCCCCAGACTGAAGACAGAACCAACAGACTTGGTCCCTGATTGCACACCCTCAAGGGACCATCAGTAAGGTCATGGGAGGAGCCAGGAATTTTACCACCACTTTGCCTGACCAATCACTGTGCCAGACGTGAAGCAAGGAAGAGGAGCAGAGAGATTGTATTGTACTCCATATGTACTGCTCACTACGGAGCAGTTTTTACTGCAGCATACCTGCGATACACATTTCTTTTTCAGTACACACACACTCTGCCATAAGCAATTTTGCATGCTGACGTTCAACCCAGTAACCATAACAGAACTTGGACTATATGAAGCTAAAAACGCAACACTTTTCCATTATTAGCTCATCTCTAAAAATAGGGAAATTCTTCTTTTCCACAAGACTCACGAAACATCGACTGGAATGTTGTTTCATTCAGTAGAAGTGTTTCAGCAGATACCACTCGTAATAACACAATCTTTGGACATATTAACTGTAAAATCAGGCTTACAGAAACTATAGAAGGGGTTAATGACAGGCCCAATGCATGCCATAGTGAAATAGGCCCGTAGGGGTGTAAGAAAAAATATATTCTGCAAAATATTGCGATATTTTATTCGGCAATACTTTTATTGGTTCAAATTGGGCTGAATCGATTTTTTTTAATTAGATATTTGTAAGCAAAAGTTTCATTTGGAGTATTACTGTTCCATGATCCACACTGAGCCTTCTGACCAAATCTTACAAGAGCAGTACATGTCCAGTCATAGTTTTTCAGGTCAAAATGAAATACAGCAGTAGTACAACAAACCTCCACGCACACGTCGCCTGGCATCAAAGTGAAATAGAGCAAAATGCTAGTAAGAAGCAGCTATCTCCGGGTCTCAGTTGACTCTCAAACAAGAGATTTAAATGCAAAAAATGCATTCCATTTGTAAAGACATGGGTCTGTTTAGGGTTGTGGAGAACAAGGGCTTCCGTAGCATTTTGCTCACATCAGAACCCCGCTATTCCATACCTTGTCACATGTTCAGCAAATACGGTCAATGTAAACGGTCAATCTCAAACAAAAGAGAACATATCATGGGTTTACTCCAAAAAGCCCCAGATGAATGCAGCCAACATGGCGGTGGTGGCTAAACTGTCAAAAAAAGCCATGCTCAGTGTTTCTTACAGTGGTTGTTCCAAAAGCTGTTACTTTTGGATTACAAATACTTAAAAAAAAAGGCTCTTCACGGGTTCTTCGCTGGTTTGAAGGGGCTATATTTCACTTTAAAAAACAGGTTTTTGAGGTACTTTTGAAGCACTTTGTTAGCGTAAAGAAACTGTTATGGCCTTTCTTTGTTGTTTATAATGTGAACTTTTCAACATTGGTTCTAAATAGCACTTTTGAAGATGATTACGAGCCAATAGCACCCCAATGATTAAGAGCTAAAGAATCAGATTTTGTTCCATGTAGAACAGAAACGTTAGAGTGTAACTCAACAAATAGTAAAATATTTAAATATTGAGATAAATCATCTCTGATGCGGTAATGAAATTTAACAGGATGTATTGTATCATAAATATTTAAAACCAGTGTATTTTGAAATCCAAACACTTTTACTCCATACATTTATCTGACTTGAAAATAGCATTTTGTGTTTTCTTTTTTTACCAGAAAGCGAAAAGCATCGGCACGTTTCAGGTTTTGTGTTTTGTCCCTTATTTACAGTTATAAAGGCTTGCGAAATTGAGGGATATGAATGATTGTTATAAAAGTTAAGGTTGGTGTAGTGCATGGCTGGTCAATGAATGCGTAATTTCAAGAGCAGCAAATGCTCTGGGAGCGCTGGATCTTGTCCGTTGTTGACGCCAGTCAAATGAAAATCTGTCAAGCTCGCTGATTTGTGCTAACTAGCTATCGATTGCACCAGCACAACACACGCTTAGAGCTCCAGGGAATGCGCATGAGAGGAAAAGAGAGGAGAAAAATGAGAGAAGGAGACTGCAAAATGAGGAGAGCAATGCAGAGATGGTGGGGGAAGAAAGAAACAAATGAAGGAAATGTTGAGAGAAAAAGAAGGATTTGCATTTGGTTCACATTGGGTTCGAAGACCATTCTCTTTAATTTTCAGGGTAGTCTATCTCCAAAAATAACTATATCCTCAATTTCAAGTTATTCTAATGCAATATATATATATATATATATATATATATATATATATATATATATATATATTTCTATTTCTATTCAAGACTGAAGAAACATTTTCCAAATATTGTGAATGGCTCACATTGTTGGTTTATGATTATCTGGTCCTTTGAGGGATGCCCTTGAACATCTCTACAATTTTAAAGTACATTTCATTAATTTATTAACTCTGCTCAAGCTTTTAATATAAAAAATATACTTTATTTTATCACCTAAACATTATTAGGATAATTAGCAGAGGGTCTGTATGTTCTATGTTTATTAATGTTCATTGGTACTCTTTGCTTATAGGCTTTGCTTTATATAGCATTGTTATTGAATATAATTTATAGCTGTTTTCTTTGACTAAACAAAAAAAATTGGTTGTTTGATCAACTGAATGTTTTAAAAATGTGACATATCATATAGTCTGAAAAAATATAAAAGCAATTGTGAACTTTTTCAATCATGACAGATTGTAATTTTCCCTGAACCACCTTTTTAAACAATAGTCCTTGAGTTATAAGACCCCCCTCACCTCCCCAATACCAGCGCCCACCCCCCACCTGCAGTTTGACCAAACAAAGGCACAGATAAAGCCCACTGGGGGAGAGCTATTTCCACGTGTGAAAGCAGCTCTCCGGCTGTGGAGATTCAATTAAGTGTGTCCGTCCCACTGGCTTTTCACTGAAGACAATTACTGCTTCATATACTGATTAAAGCAGAGGACAAGTGCCGAGCGAAGGACACACACGTCAAATATATGAGCTCATGCCTTGCATTATTATGCTTTTCTATGCAAATGAAGGAGAGATTATTATTTGGTCCGCCAACACAACAGGGCTCGCAGGAAACTTTATTTAAAAATTACTTATAACACAGAAAGAAAAAAAAATCATAATTATTATTAAAATTATAAATTTGAGTTTTACATTTATGCTTTAATTATGCAGTTATCACATATTATTACAACTACTTTTACTGCTATTAATGATAATAATTATAATAATAATAATAATAATAATAATGAAATTTTATTGAAATACAAAAAATAAAAATATCTACCACCGCAACACTATAAATAACCTTACTAGTATGATTATCTAGTTGTAGTAGTAGTTCATAAATTTATGTCTGAGTTGTCTGGTTATGGTTGTACAGTATTTTTTTTTTTTAATATGGGGTGTCTGTTTTTGCTTGTTTGATATGACATTAAAAATACAGCTGATACATTTCTGTAATATTAACCTTATTTTAACTCTTGCTTGAAAGCATTGTTAATATTTGTTTTAGGTGATACCTTCTATTACCCATGTTCTTGTAGCAATAGAAAATAGGTCTTTAATAGTTTGTATTACATCCATCATATATTTAAATACTTGATCAAATTTATGAACAAACTGGTTCATTTGAAAATTAAATTTTTAAAAAGTCAATGGCAAAAAATATATACATGTATCAGGAGAGCATATCTATAGAGAGAGTTTCTAAAACCCCCATTTAGCTTAAACTAGGGTACTGACAAGAGCCCAAAAGCCCAACCTTGTTCCCGGTACATGGGGTGACACTTCATTAGAGTATTTTTTGCTGCAATTGTTTGTTATAATAGCAAATATAACAAATTAACAAATATATATACATTTTGTATATTTGTACAAAAATGAGTAACACTTACCATCTTTGATTACTCCCTCTTCCCAAAGAGTTCTCTCTTCCTCCGTAGTTTTAAGCAGGGGCTTATCATTGGGGACGTACCAGTTGGCATGTTGCTCGGCCATAAGTGTGTCGAGATCGATGCTGGCCATAGAGTTTTTTTCAGCATCTGAGCCACAATTGCCAAACTCTCCATCGTCACTGCAGTCAGAACTCAGCATGTTTT